TTTTTATGGTTTCCCATCTTACATTTAAGACCTTTATCCATTTTGAGTTTATTTTTGTGTATGGTGTAAGTTGGTGGTCTAGTTTCATTTTTTTGCATGTATCTGTCCAATTTTCCCAACACCATTTATTGAAGAGACTGTCTAGACTCCATTATATGCTCTTGCCTCCTTTGTTAAATACTAATTGAGCATAATGGCTTGGGTCGATTTCCCCACATAACGTTTAAATAACTTAGATGGGTTTGGGAGACAAGTAACTATAGCTTGTTCTTAGAATGAATTCCAACTTTACAGTCATCAACCAGTTCTTTATTAGACAGTAATCTGTCCCATGTGGCTCCAGCATTAAATTTACAAAGGTTTTTTGATATGTGCGTGGTTGCTGTTTGCAGTTCTAGCACAGGGGTAAATAAAAAGCGAGACTCCAGGTCTGCCCTTATCCTGAACCAGGGATCAGAAATAGTTCTATTAATGTACCTGGCTTATACCTCACTTTCCCTTAACATTGAGTTAGATTAATAATGTGAATCATTCCCAACTATTGGAGGATCGTTTTTTCACTAATGTTTTTAATATATATGGTATATCCAATATTTAGGAACTGGATTTGTATTTATGTCAAAGTGAAAAAGTTTAAATTGATTTCTGATTCTCTTTTTTTAAGGATTTTTTTTTTTTTTTTGGTTTATTCTCTCCCAAGAATATTTTTTCCCCCACTGATTTTTAGAGTGGAAGGGAAGGACCAAGGGATGGGGGAAAGAGAGAGAGAAACATCAATGTGAAAAGGACACATGGATTGGTTGCCTCCCTCACACACTGGGGCCTGGGATGAACCTGCAAGCTAGGTATGTGCCCTTGACTGGGAATCGAACTTGTGACCCTTGGGTGTGCAGGCCGACGCTCTAACCACTGAGAAACACCGGCCAGGGCTCTTTTTAAATTTTAATACGTACAGAGCAAATGATCTTGTTTATCATTGTGTGTGTGTGTGTGTGTGTGTGTGTGTATGATATAGATTCTATACAATTAGAAACCTTGCTGTTAATACTTAGAACCAATTTGCTCATTAGAGACTATATTTAGCAGCAGTTGCTGGGTTTGCATTTTGAGTTTAGTGAACAAAAAGTGAAGAGAGGGTGCGGAGGACCCTGGCAGTGGGTCTCCCCCCAGGTACTCACAGTGTGTGCACCCTGGTCCCTGACCTCCGTACAGTGGGGGTCATGAAGTCCCTGTCTCGGGGTTTGAGGGCCAAGTGGAGGAGTGTTTGTAGAGCATTGAGGTTGGCATAGATGAGATGCCTGGTATAGAGTAGCACTTGCTACACTGTTCTGTGCTGCTCTTCTCCAGGATAAATTGTTGTTGTTTTTTTAATAGAAATTTGCATAACATTTTATTTTTGTGCCAGACGTAATAAAGACTATGACAATAATAGTCTTTCTAATTCTCTGGCTTCCTAGTTTTTTTTGTTGTTGTTTTGTTCTTGATTTTCTTCCAAAATAAAAATTTTATACTCAGCAAAATGCTAAAACATTCTGTCTTTAGTCAGAGCATTTGAATATAAATAGTTTCTAGTCAGAAGCTATTATGGTGTAGCCTTGAGTTTATAATACCACTCTGG